AAAGCAAAAAGAAAAAGTGTCTTGGTGGTGTTTCCAGATCTACCCTAACATAATAAAAAAACATCAGAGGCAAAAGTCTAAAAGCCTACGATAATTACCATAATTAATTATGATATTGAAAGACATGCCTGAGACTGGAAATAAGAGATGTTTGCTAATACCACATATATTCAACATTATATTGGAGGTCCTAGTTAATTTCTTCCTTTAGAAATAAGAATAGAACTGCTCTTTTAACAGTAGGCATAATTGGATACACAATCCAAAAGAATTTATAAATTATTGGAAGTTATCAAGTTTTCTGGATGACATCAATATACACAAATTAATTGCATTTTTATAACCTAGTCACAAACAATAAGAAAAAAATAAAAAAATTATGACGTATAAAAACACCAAATACCAAGGAATAAATCTAATGAAAGGTATGCAAGACCTCTAAAAAGAAAACTAAATATGTTACTGAGAGAAAGATGTATGTGGAACAAATAAAACTTTTATACTATTAATGGAAGTAAAATTGGTGCAATCATTTTAGAAAACTCAGTAGTATTTACTGAAGCTGAACATAAACATACCCTATGACCTCCAGGCTTCACTCCCAGAAACACGTACAACAAAAATGAGTTTATATTTGCAATAAAAATTTTACAAGATTGGTCATAACATAACCCCAAATTGAAAGCCACCTAAATGTGCAGCAACAATAAAATGCATAGATATATTCATTTAATGGAGTATCACACAGAACTAAAAATCATTCAATGTGACTGAATATCATATACGTAATGTTGAGCAAACTTAGAAAAAAGAAGTAAATACTGCATGTTTCCATTCATATGAGAGTCCAAAACTCACAAAACTAATTTATGGTTAAAAGTCAGAACAGTGGGTACCTTTGTGAGAGTAAGTGGCTGAGAGGCAGGAGGGAGGTTTCTGGTGTTCTACAGACATTCTGTATTATACCTCAGTTAAAAAAGTTTACTCCTAAAGAGGTAAGACCAAGGTATACAAAAAAAAAAATTCCAAAGAAACAAACAAAAAAGGAAAAGTTGTAGTATTAATAGTAAACAAAGTGGAATTCAGGTAAAAAGACATGAACAATGGTGGTTTAGGTATAAGATGCACTTTTTGTCAATATAGTTTAAAATATCTACACATGAATATTTTTAACACAGCAGATATAAGGAAAAATAGAAACATATTATTAGTACAGTATTTTAATTCTCCTTTTCTCCATCCTTGGCAAGTCAAGTAATTAAAATATAAAGACATGAAAGACTTAAATAACAATGAAGCAGCACTTATAGCTACTTAATTCTGCTACAAGTTAACATTAATAACTCTGGTAAAAGAAAAAAAAAAACTCTACCATATGGAAATTACTATTAATGCAATCACAATTTATCAAAAGCTCTGATACATACAATGCAGAGTTCAATGGGAAATTTAACCTTAGTATAGCAACATGTAAGAAATAAATGAATTAAGCATCTACCACAAAAAAATTGAAACGTGAAAAATTAGAAAACAGAGGAGGGAACTAATAAAGTTAAAAGCAGAAATTAAGTTAAAACCCCTAAAATCCAGTAAAACTTTTGTTCAAGTTTAAAAAACAAAACAGAAAGGGGCACCTGGGCAGCTCAGTTGGTAAAGTGTCCCACTCTTGATTTCCACTCAGGTCATGATCTTATGGTTTGTGGGATCCAGCCCCACCTTGGGCTCTGCACTGCTGAGGGATTCTCTCTCCCCCTCTCTCTGTCCCTCTCCAGCTTGCACGTGTGTACACACACACACACACACACACACACACACATTCTTTCTCTAAATTAAAAAAAAAAACAACAGAAAAATAGATTGACTATTAACTAGCCTAATTGAAGAGCCACAATCTTTGTGTATGTTACATTGAATATTGCTAGAAAATTTCTAGGATGAAAATAGCTTTCTTTACAGACAATATGAAGATACAAAATCAATAATTATAAAGGGTAAGTGACTTGATGGGAGAATTCTACCAAAACTTTAAAAAGCAGATAATTACAATTGTATTTAAATTAATGAGCATAAAGAAAAAAGTCCACAAAGGAAATGTCTGAATGCAAAAAACTGCTGTAAGGCAAGAGATACCACAAGCAAAGTTAAAATGAGAAAAATATGTGGATCTCAGGTCATAAAAGGGTAATCTTAATTTATAAAGAGGCAATAAAAATTGATATGAAAATGACAACTCTATAGAAAATGGGCAAATTGTATGAATAGATGATTTATAGAAAAAAATAAATAGGTCTTAAACAGTTGAAAAGGTATTCAATATCACGTTTGTGAAAGATAAATTGAAACTACATTGACCTTTTCTTATCAGCATTACAAAAATTAAAAAAAAAAAGATAACCATTGTTTGTATGTTACTGATGGCAAGAGAGAAAATTGCTGCAAACTCTAAGGAGAGCAATTTGGGAAAATTTATAAAAATTAGATAGGCATATACTCTTTGACTCAGAAGCTCCAATTTTAGGAATTTACAGATCTACTGGTACACATTTGTTTGTTTGTTTGTTTGTTTATTTAATGTTTATTTTTGAGAGAGAGAGAGAGAGACAGACAGACAGAACACAAGCAGGGTAGGGGCAGAGAGAGAGGGGGGACACAGAATCCAAAGCAGGCTCCAGGCTCTGAGCTCTGAGCTGTCAACACAGAGCCTGATGCGGGCTCCAACTCACAAACCAGGAGATCATGACCTGAGCCAAAGTCCGATGTTCAATCGACTAAGCCACCCAGGCGCCCCTACCTGTACACGTTTATAATGAGGAAGGTATGAAGGTTAGTCACTGCAGCATTGTTTGACATGGCAGAACACTGGTAGCAAACTAAGGGTCCCTTAATTGGTGAAATAGTAAATAAATTATAGTAACTGCATGCATCTCAATAACATACAACTGTAATGATTATTTAAGAAATGGAAAGACAAGATACACAGTACAGTGAATCAAGCAAAGTATATTGAAATGTATATACTATACTAGTGTATAGAACAGGAAGCCAAAATGAATATACTATGTCTTTTTGGCTTGTTTACAAATATGAATTGAAAAGATAAATAAGAAAGTAACAATGTTTATTTTTCAAAAGGATGGAAACAAAGTATGGGGAAGGGTGGGAGGGAGATTTTTAAATACCATTTCTCTTTGACTTTTGAACCCTATATTACTATTAAAATTCAGATTACAGGGGTGCCTGGGTGGTTCAGTTGGTTAAGCACCTGATCTTGATTTTGGCTCAGGTCATGATCTCGCGGTTGTGAGATCCAGCCCTGTGCTGGGCTCTGCACTGAGTGTGGAGCCTGCTTGGGATTCTCTCCCTCTGCCCTCCCCTGCTTGCATGAATATTCTCTCTCTCTCTCTCTCTCTCTCTCTCTCTCTCAAAAAAAAAAAAAAATTAAAAATTTAAATTTAGCTTATGGATGAGAATTTAAAGTGAAGTTATTTAAATTGATATAGGATATTGAATTTTATATTGAAGATTTATGACATGAGAAAATATCAAAGTAATATTTTAAGGAGATTAGTTTTGCAACATGATATGCAAAATGAATTGTAAGGATGAGAGATCACAGAGACACCTGTTAAGATAATTTTTGTGATACTCTAAATGTAGGATACTAAATGCCTAAATTAGGATGGTGCCTACAGGATAGAAATACAAAAGAAAGGGTAAAAGTATGAGATCATATTTAAAATAAAAGCAATGAAATAAAGATTAAATAGATAGGGTTAAAAGAAAACTTTATACAGGACACTAGATTCTACTTTGCCTCACATTCCTGAAGAATAAGGATAAACAATTAACAACTCTTAAGAGATAGAATGAATTGGGGGTGCCTGAGTGGCTCAGTAGGTTAAACATCCAACTTCATTCAGCTCAGGTCATGATTTCATAGTACATGAGTTCGAGCCCCACATCAGGCTCTGTGCTGACAGCTCAGAGCCTGGAGCCTGCTTCAGATTCTGTGTCTCCCCCTCTCTCTGCCCCTCCCTCGTTCATGGTCTCTCTCTCTCTTTCTCTCTCTCTCTCAAAAATAAACATAAAAAAAAGAGATAGAGTAAATTAAAGAAATATCACAGTTAGAAAAGAATTTCCAAAAGTCAAAATTAATTGCTTTTTAAGGCATTAAATGTTCATAAATTTATATGAAGTTAAAATAAAAATTAATTATAAGGAATTATAATTTTTTGATACTCTGAAAACATAGAGTTCAATGTCAAAGAAATACGTAATATTTTTTGGTGTTCAAAAATTTACATATACTGTATATGTATTGGAGAAAAATCAGGTAAATAAATGGAAAAATATAAGCTAACCATTTATAATCCCACCACCCAACAATTTCTACTAACATTTTTTTGTACACCTTAAAAGACCTATTCCTAGGAATCTTTATACTCACATTTTTAATATACTTTGGTAGGCTCATGCTTTCTTGATGCTTTACTTCCAGCATATTATCATTTTTTCTTTTTTTGAAAAAAAAAAACCTTTGTTTAAAATGTCTTTATATGTGGGGCGCCTGGGTGGCGCAGTCGGTTAAGCGTCCGACTTCAGCCAGGTCACGATCTCGCGGTCCGTGAGTTCGAGCCCCGCGTCAGGCTCTGGGCTGATGGCTCAGAGCCTGGAGCCTGTTTCCGATTCTGTGTCTCCCTCTCTCTCTGCCCCTCCCCCGTTCATGCTCTGTCTCTCTCTGTCCCAAAAATAAATAAACGTGGAAAAAAAATTTTTTTTAAAAAAATAAAATGTCTTTATATGTACTACACTCGTATCTCTGATCTTAATTTTTTGGGAGGCCAAGAATTTTTTATATATTTGCTTATGGTAAAATTTCAGAAACTAAATTAGAAACAATTACTAAAATTATGAATTTCGCATTGTAAGAATTAAGAAAATAAAGCAGTAGATTACTGTAGTGAATTACAAGAAGGCTGAAAGTTAACATTCACGTTTACCTGAAGTGGGAGACTTGCAGCGCTCAAGTTCCAGGGGAACGGGACTATCATTTAGCTCAGTTAAACCTGAAAATGAAATGACAAGAAATTAGATAAATTTTGCTAACAAATTGTAGATAATTCTTATATATTCATTCCTAAAATTTTCAAAAGGTTTTTCTTCTCCCTGTGAAACTTTTCTATTCTCATGTTATGACAATGATTCTGAAAATTTGTTTCAGTAAGTTATACCAGAAACAATAAGGAGCAATAACTAATAGATAAATACAAGGAGTAATTAACATAATGGTAGTAAAATACAAAATCTTCTTTCTTACTTTTTAACGTGAAATAGCTACTTTAATAAATGACCTAGTTTTATCTAAAAATAGACCAAAAATAATACAATTTATAAGGAGTTTTTAAAAAGACCTAATCAAATCTTCTTTCAAGATAAATGCTTATTGGCTTTTAAAAATAACTTTAAGGGATGCTACAGATTCTAAATATTATACTTAGTTATAAAAATGCAGTGTTGTATAATACATATTAAGTGACTTATTTGATGATATCAAATTCCTTCTTATAATAAGGATTACATTTTTCTTTTTTTAAAAAAATTTTTTAATTTTATTTATTTTAAGAGAGAGAGACAGAGAGAGAGAGAGAGAGAGCACATGTGAGTGGGGGAGGGGCAGAGAGAGAGAATCCCAGGCAGGCTCTGTGCTGACAGAGCTTGATCTCAGGAACTTCAACACCACAATCTGAGCTGAAACCAAGAGTCAGAGGTTCAACCAACTGAGCCACTCAGTCACCCCTCTCTTATTTTTAATACTCTGTTATGTAACTCTACTGACAAACACAAGGATAGGCACAATAAATAAACATTTTATAATTCTTGCTATCTGCCAGCCTGTGTTCCTGTGGCATTCATAAAATATCCTTAATTATGGTTTTCCTATACTTGTTAGAGATTTTTATATACTTTTTCCTTATAAAAAATATTCAGAGTTCCTACTTTAATGTAAATCTTTATACCCAGAAGTACTTATTTTTTTTTTTTCAACGTTTATTATTTTTGGGACAGAGAGAGACAGAGCATGAACGGGGGAGGGGCAGAGAGAGGGAGACACAGAATCGGAAACAGGCTCCAGGCTCTGAGCCATCAGCCCAGAGCCCGACGCGGGGCTCGAACTCACGGACCGCGAGATCGTGACCTGGCTGAAGTCGGACGCTTAACCGACTGCGCCACCCAGGCGCCCCCGGATGTACAGAAGTACTTATTAAAAACTATTGTCAATTACCAGAACTATCTTTGTCCATATTCCTTGCTACCACCCCTTTCTTGATATAATTTGTACCAATAAACTTACTATGGTTCAAAAAATTATAGAATTTGGGAAAAGGCTGCTGTGGTACTCTAGCCCACCTCTTATGTTTTACAGATAAGAAACTATGAGTTTGAAGAGTTTAAACAATTTAAGGTTACAGAACCAAGTATGTGCCAAATCTTGAATAGAATTATTTATATACTTAAGAGTCTTTTGTTAGAAGTAGGTACTGTGAATATTTTCTTCCAGTATGTGACCTATCTTGTCATTTTCTTTCTTTTTTTTTTTTTGTCATTTTCTTAATGAAAATGAAATCTTTTGATGTTCAGGAGATTAGTTTACTTGAAGGACCCTTTATGAAATTTTTTAATTGTGAATTTTTTATAATTCCTGTGTAAGTAATCTCTGCCTACTCATTGCTCATGAAGATATTATTGTATTCTCCAAGAAGCTTTTTTAATTTTCAGCTTTCAGTTTTAGGACTATAATTCATCTCAAATTTTGATTGTGGTGTGAGGTAGAGATTAAGGTTCATTTTTCCCTATATGTTGTTTGTCTAGTTCTTCCATCATTATTTGTTAAAAAGATTTTCCTTTTTTCATTGATTTTTATTAGTGCTTTAGTAAAAAATAAATTGGATACATATGTGTAAGTTTACTTCTAGACTTTGTATTTTGTAGTCATTGGTCTATTTGTCTATCTTTTTTTGACTACCACACTAATTAACGCAGGTCTATAGTACATCTTAAAGTCAGGTAGTAAAATACTCCAACTTTGTTCTTTTCCAAGAGTGTTTTAATTACTTTAGACTTTTTGCATTTCTAAATAAGTTTTAGAATCAATTTGTCAATTGCTACAAAAGGATATGCCAAATTTTTACTAGACTGTAATTTTGATAGAATAAACATTTTAAAAATATTCAGTCTCCCAACCTATAAACATGGTATTCTCCTCTATTTAAATGATGTTTTAAATTTTTTTTTTCTTTCTGCATGAGTTTGTAGATTTCAGTATAGAGGTTTTGTATGTGGCATTTTTCAAGTCTTTATTTCCTTTTTGGTTTTCTGTCTACTTCTTGTATCATTATTCGAAGTGGAGTACCGAAATTCCCAGTAATTATTGTTGGATTGTCTCTCTCCCTTTGATTCTGTCAAGTATTGCCTCATGTACTTTGTAGATCGGTCGTCAGATGCACAGATGTTATATCTTCTAGATGGGTTAACCATTTTTTCATTTTAGATGTCCCTATTTATAGTAACTTTTTTTTGCTTTAAAATCTATTTTGTCTGGTATTAACTACAGCTGTACTTGCTGTTTGCATGGTTTTTTTCTATCTCTTAACTTTCTTTTTTTCAACGTTTATTTATTTTGGGACAGAGAGACAGAGCATGACGGGGAGGGAGAGAGAGGGAAGAGGCAGGCTGGGAATCGGAGAGCAGGCTGCGGGCTCTGAGCCATCAGCCCAGAGCTCCATCGCAAGGTCCGAATTCCTGAACGGCCGCAGATCAAGACAGCCTGGCTGAAGTCTGACGCCAACCGCATCACTGGCGCCCACCCAGGCGCCCCTATCTCTTAACTTTCAACGGATTTACATCTTTATGTGTGGCCTCTGACAGCATGGAGTTAAATCTTGGTTTTTTTAAAAAATCTGGCTCAACAGTCTTTGTCTTCTGATTGAATTGTTAAATCTATCCACATTTAATGTTATAACTGATACAGTTAGGTTACACCTGTCATTCTACTTTATTTTTCTGTATGTCTCATGTCTTTTTGTCCCTCTAATCTTCCTTACTGCTTTGTTTGGCATTAAATATTGTCTAGTGTAACTCATTCATTTCTTTAATGATTTTGTCATCATATTTTTGTCATTGCTCTAAGATAACATATACATCTTAACTTCTCAGTATCTACTTCAGATGTATATTAACTTAATTCCAGGGAGATGTAGCAATGTTATTCTTTCATACTTCTATTTCCTCTTTCCCCTTTATGTGCTATTACTGGCATACATAATACATCCATATGTGTTACAAATCCAGCAACATATTATTATAATGATTACTTTATATAACTCTGGGTTTTTATAAAACCTGAGAGAAGAAAGTGAGCAGAAAATATATTTATAGTTTGTATATTAACTTTGCAATTTATCATTTCTAGTTCTCTTCATTTGTTCCAGTCAATCCACCTGCTTTGTTTGCTTACTCAAATACAACTTTGCTCCCACCTACTTCCTTTGTGCTGTTATTCGAAAATATATTACATTTCTACATACTGTAGGCCCATCAAGACAATTTTATAATATTGTTTCATAAATGGCTTTTTAAATCAGTTAAGAGAAGAAGTCATGTACATTTATATTATTATTTTATAATTACATAGTTACCTTAGTAGTGTTCTTTTTCCCCTTGTGTGAATTCAAATTATCATCTGGCATTACTTTTTTTCAGCCTGAGAAAAACTTCCTTTAGTATTTCTTATAAAGTGGCCTATGCTAGCAACAAATTCTCTCATTTTTTGTTTATCGGGGAATGACTTTATTTCAGCTACATTTTTGAAAGATTGTTTTGCTGGATATAAGATTTTTGGGTTTAGGTTTTTCCTTTGAGCACTCTGAATATGTTGTCCTACTGCTTCTGGCCTCCATTGTTTCTAATGAACTGTTAATCCTACTTGAGTTCTGTTGTATGGGACAAGTCATTTTTCTCTTACTGTTTTCAAGATTTTTTTGCCTTTCAGCATTTTTACTATGATGTTTCTGGGTGTGGGTATCTTTGCATTTATCCTGTTTGGAGTTCACTGACATTTTAGACATATGCATTAATGGTTTTCATCAAATTTTGGAAGTTTTCAGCCATTATCTTTTTGAATATTTTCCTGCTTCTCTCTTTTCTACTCTTATTATGGACATGTTTGCTACATTTACAGTATCCTAAGCTTCTTTGAGGATTTGTTAATTTTTCTTAATTTTTTCCCCTCAGAATGCAGTCTCTATCAGTTTCCTTCAAGTTTGCTGATTCTGATTTCTGCCAGTTCAGATCTACTGTTGACTCCCTCTAGTAAATTTTTCTTTTCATTTACTGTACTTTTTGTACTGTACTTTTGTATAAGAATTTCCATTTGGGTCTTATTTTCCCTTGACCTCATTCACCCGTTTCATCGACGCTTCACCCTCTGCCTCTGAAAACCACCAATCTCTTCCCCAGATCTATGTGCTCATTTTTTTGTTGCTCTTTGTTCATTTTTAGATTCCACACATAAGTGATGTCATGGGTCTTATTTCACTGGGCACTGTAATGCTCTCAAGGTCCATCCATGTTCTTGCAAATGGCAAGATTTCCTTCTTTTTTATGGCTCAGTAATAATCCAGTTTGTGTGTGTGTGTGTGTGTGTGTGTGTGCATGTAACTCAATCGTATTTTCTTTATTCATCCATCCACTGATAACACTTAGGTTGTTTCTATATCTTGGAAAATATGTAAATAATGCTGCAATGAACATGGGAGTGGCGTATATCTTTTTGAGTTAGTTTTTTATTTTTTTGTATAGATACCCAGAAGTAGAATTGCTGGATTTTATGGTAGTTCTATTTTTAGTTTGTGAGGAACTTTCACACTGTTTTTCAAAGCATCTGCACCAATTTACATTCCTACCATCAGTGCACACAGGATTCCCTTTTCTCTACATACTTGCCAACACTTGTTATTTCTTGTTTTTTTGGTAATAACCATTCTAACAAATAGGAGGTGATGTCTCA